CCCACCTCCCCCGCCGTCCCCCCTTTGTAAAACCCGGCTTTACTCTACACGTTTGCTGAATTTTTGAAATGTCATTTCTTTTCAGTGCAAGTGAGATTGTTATATATACTGTATAAACAGGCTGAGTCACAAGGTGGCAGTAATGAGCCTCAGTCTAAATGGGGGGGGGGTGTTTTGGGGTCAGGATGAGCTCAGAGGTGTACAGCACCACAGAACAGTCAAACTCTGCACCCTTGTGTGTTTTTTGTGGACAAAGGTTGTGCAACAGTCAAAGATAGGGGGCATGGACATTTTGGGGACATGTCGCAGAAATGTGACGTCATCTTCCCGTGCAAGCTCTTCTTTTTGGATTGCGCAACACACACGGTGCACTATTTATATTTTTGGTTTCTCCTCATAAAACAGCGATGGTTTGTTAATGTGTGGACGTGAGTCACCCTCCAACCAGCTACAGGACACCGACCGTCACAGTTGACAGGATTTTTATAAACAAGGAAAAATGTCAATCCCTGAAGCAGAACCCCTGTAATGTAGAGCTCCCCTACAGGACAGGGAGGGGATGTGTTGTGCTTACAAACTGCAGAAAAGTACAGACCTTATCTTGAGCACAAACACCCACAGACTTAAAGCAGTGTGAAAAACCAGACAGATATTAATCCCTCGGATTACACATGATAACGGGCAGTTTCACGTGCACGAATTGGCGCGCGTACACGAAAAGGCGGCTGCAGCAGCAGGTTTTTATTTCTGTGAACGTGCATCGCGACCGGCCACACCTCTACTGTAGGAATGAATAAAGTGACACATGTACGGTGCGTGTGCCTGTGCACGTCATTCAGCCTAAATGTCGTCTGAGTTCTCAGTAGTTCTCAGAATCAATTCCTCTGCTCCTGACGTCATCTGCAGTTCGACCAATCAATGAAAAAAAAATCTTCCTCTGATTTGATTTCAAATGTACGTCTGTTTCTATGATCCTCGGTGTTTTTTGAACAGGAACAAACTTTTGCCACACCGTCGTGCGCGCGCACACGCACAGACGCGGCTTACTCTGACCTCAAGCAGCATATGACGCACGCACGCGCGCACAAAGACTTGTATACAGTGTCAAAAATGTGTAGACCATCATCACCATCCTCATCCTCATCCTCGTGGTCATTAGCTGCTGCAGCAGAATAAAGATGACGATGATGATGAAGGTGCGGTGGTGGTGATAAAGGAGAGAAGGTTCTGGACTCACCGCGGGCTCCTGGTGTCTCACTGAGGGCTTTTCCTCGTCCTCACAGTGAAGAACATCTGCAGCAGCAGCAGCAGCAGCAGCAACAGCAACAGCAGCGGCTTCTCTCCATCACCATCACGCGCAACTCCTTCCACACTCCTGTCTCTGCGCGTGGACGCGTTCGTATCCAGAGTAAACCGCGGCTCCAGTGTCGGTTCTGGCTCACCGGGTTCCGTTCTGGTAAGAAGGTTACACAGCAGCCACCGCGCAGGCGGCAGCGGCAACACCAGCAACACCGGCAACACCAGCAACACCAGCAACAGCAGCAGCAGCGACAGCAGTTAGTGCTTGTGAGCTCAGACACTAAGGTCTGCGATCCACGCACGATCCACGCACACGCGCTGCACCAACAGGCGAAAGAACGAGAGTTGAGGTGAGAATGAAGAAGGTGGTTCGTAGTTACAATAGTTACAACAATTCCAACTTATTTCAGTTGCGAAATGTCAGATAGGAAGAGAGAGAGAGTGAGGAAGGGGGAGAGCCAGAGAGAGAGGGAGAGAGAGAGAGAGTTTACAGTTGACATGAGGTGGAAAGAGGAATTTGTTGAAGAATGTGATGACTGGTAGAAAACATCAGACCCACATGGACTCGTCTCAGCCCGTGTCTGTGTAACCTGCCTGGTTACCATTTAGTTTATGATCAACACTACAGTAAACAGGGAGTGACTGACTCCATGTTTACTTTAGTGTTGAAACATCCGCGTTGGTTAGTTGTGTAATTTGGTATTTGGATTTTTCAAGAGCTTACGGATGCAGTACCACTGAAAACCACGGGGTCACTGTTGCCCAAAGATGGAGCAGCAAGAAGAAGACAACCAAAGAACAAGAGATAAGGTGGACGTGTCCCTCTGTATTTTATGTTTGGAACTCCTTCTGTTTCCTATAGTGTGTCGAGAGAGCATACAAGTCAGTCAATGTAAATGTCAATGTATGTAAATTGAAACTAGACAATCGTTATATTTTATCACATTTATATATGTTTTGACTTTTTTTTTTGTTCTGTTCTGTGGAATTTTTATGAGGTTAAATATGTGCCAGGTTAGGAAACATTGCCATAGTGGATGAATAGCTGAAAAATTATGCCAAGTGTGAGGCATGCATGGGAGTGTGAGGGCAGTGAGGGTGAGGTGAGACATATTTACGGAGGTGAAGGGAGCATAATTGAGGATTAGGGAGATAAGAGGTGTGTTTGAGTAAGATGGGCGGCAGCTGCAGATTGGTGTGTTCAACATAAAGAGTCAATCTCAGCGCGCTGACTGTCAGTTTGGAGAGTGACGTGTGGAGACTCACTCTCTAAATCATCAATACCACAGTCGTTAGGTTAAGGTTAGGGCGTGTGACCTCAGTCTGACTTTTGCTTCCACTAATGAAAACCCACACTGACCCTTTGACACCCATTCATTCTGATTTCCTGTCAGCCACGATGACCTTATGACCTCTGTTGAAAACCAATTCAGTAGCTCACAAATGACGATACATTTGAGTTGTCGTATCTCCAGACATGTAAACATTAATCACGTTGAATGTATGTGTGTATATATATATATATTTGTATATATAGTGATATTTGTGTGTTATTTTATTTAGCATAAATTATTTAATGGATTAATTCTCTCAGAAAATGAATGAAGTACAGTTTATCTTTTTCCTTCTGTCACGTTAGACTTTTCCACATGGAGGTTAGGCTTAGTGAATATGTGGCAGCTTTGTAGCAGACAGCAGTCAGAGTTTCTTTTGACTTTTGTTTTTGTACATTCTTCTGCTTCCACCACATGTTCTTTTGAGTCTTCCACAGTAACAACGGAAAAGAAAACACCTCAGCATGCCAGGAACAGATATATATATATATATATATGTATATGTATGTATTCAGTTTTTCTTTTGTTTTCCTTTGGAAAGACACACAAATGAAATGTTTCTATTCCTGGAAAACACTATGGTCTAATTCCTGAGGAATCTGACTCCTGAAAAGGAGCTACAGAAAAGACACAAAAGGGAGAAGGAATTTTTCTGGACAAACAAAATTCCAGCCACAAACACAAGGGTGATTGGTGTGATTCCAGCAGGAGCAGGAACAGCAATCATCCTCCGCATCAGCATCCTGGAGCCTGGGAACCGTGAGCAGGACAGTTCTGATGCAGAAGGTCGTAGAGAACAAACTCCCTGCTTGACAGATGGAGGTGGATTTATTCCATCACTCTTTCTTCGACCTTCAGGCTTAAAACCATCGAGCCCCGCCCCCCCGTCTGAGCAACTGACATCATCACCACAGCCCAGAGCCTGGAGGAGATGACCTCGGCCTGGTCGTTGTGACATGCATGAGTGGTTCCAAAGATAAAGACGAAGAACGTGAGAAGAACAACAAGAACGGCAGGAAGAAACCACGACATGAAACCAGATATTTAAACCAAGAACCCAGTTGAACAGGTAATTAGCATTATCATTATTATTAGCAGCAGTAGTAGTAATAGTAGTAGTGGTGGTGGTGGTGGTGGTGTGTTGTAATTATTATAATTATCATACATTTTTTTATTTTAGATTCCTTCCTCCTTCCTGAGGAACATTGGAACACACACACACACACACACATCTTTCTGCACCATTGGTTTTTTATGAACCGCACTGGAAATTCCTCACGTTTCCCGTCACTGTGAAGGAAGGCTCTGGAACTGACGCAGATGTAGGAACATCTGGTTCCAGTTTTTCTGGGTCTACACTGATGGACAAACCCATCTTTGTGGACAGCTCCTTGGTGCCCAAATCTGTGGGCCACACCCCTTTTGTCAGGGCTGTCTGTTTCCTGTTCCTGCTGTCTGCTGTGTGGGGTTAATCAGTGTGATCACACTCACCTGTGTCTGTGATTAGTCTCACTTGTGTCACCTGGTGCTCTTTGTATATATACACCTCTCACCCTCACTCTGTCCTTGTGGGATCATTGTGTTGTATGTTAGCTGGTCAATGGTGTAGCTGTTAGTTGTCACGTCAGTTTCTGTTTGGTCAATGTTGTAGCTGTTAGTTGTCACGTCAGTTCCTGTTCTCAGCTCAGCTCAGCTCAGCGTATGCTTTTGTCCTGGTCTTTGGAGTTTTTGTGAGTTTTAATTTTTGAAATAAAATACCTGCACCAGTCCTGCGTTTGGGTCCTGCCATGTCGATGGTTCACCGTGACACTTTTGTATCTGACCAGACAGTCTTGTGATGCACCCCACATCCTGGACAACCAGCACAAATACACTGTGTTCAGGAACTAGTGTGGTGTGTGGGAAGGGAGGATTCCTTAACACTGTAGCTAGAACCACGACATGGGTTCATCTCTGAACCATCGCTGGGCCGCAGTGGGAACGGGAAACACCAGGTCATGTGACCTGATTAAAATCACATGGTGTAAATGTAGGGCAGCACTGAAGATGTTTAAACTTTTATGACCCTCCCTCCGGAGCGGAGGGCTTAACACACGACCGAACATCTGAGTGACGTGTCACCTCCTCCAGAGGATCAGCAGCCTGTGTCAGGCTGCAGTGAAGACCTGAGGATGTCGTCTTCTGTGAGTGAGAGGAGAGACATGGATGAATTCCTTTGAGTGCTTCAACCCTCAGTCTGAGGCTTCTGTTTCTCTCAGTCAGGTTTCAGAGAAGTTCTGGAGACAGACAGAGGACGTGTCAGTAACGGCTCTTCTCATCCACGTGGGAAATTCTAGTCTCTGATCCACAGGATGACAACTGAAAAGCTTCAGACTTTTCACACCACAGCTTGGAGAGAAATAAAGATGTGTTCTTTCCTCATCACACAGTAGAGGGATCTTCTCCTCTAGACCAAGAGAGAGGATTGGAGGACTGAACAGAGTCAGGTTTCAGAGCAGGTCTGGAGGTGAACGTGTAGATTCCACAGAGACGGAGAAGATTCTCATCATCAAGTGATGACTGAGAATGGATGTTTGAGTGGAGCAGGTTCATCTCCAATGTTGTTCAAATTGAATTTCAATCAACAACAACGGTAATCAAGAGAAGATGGAGTTTGAATGTGGAGCGGATCCTGGATGGACTCCTCGATTTGACCTCTGGAATCTCTTTCACTGTGACAGGAAATGTTTCCGAGGTTGGACTCAAATTCAGGGCAAAGGATGTATTTTTCAGTTGGTAATTTAAAATAGTTTTGCAAAGACTATAGTAAGCACATTCAGGTTCTTTTTAAAACGGTGGTTCTTAAACTTATTCTACTCTGTACCACCTGAGAAAACATTGAGCTCTCTGAGTACCACCATGATGACCATCATTAGAATTCCCCTGCTGGTTTTACATTCAACTTGCAAGTGATCCCACGATTTTGTGCTGCTTATGTGAGCAACAAGTAAAAAAATAAAAAGACCAGACATCCTATTTCATAATCTCACAAGTAGCTACACTGTTTTTTCTAAATGTATCAACTGTGCATGGTGTGTTTCAGATTTATTCAATTGAAAATGTAAATTAATTTTCCACTAGAGAGTGCTCAGTGGTACACGGACCACAGTTTGAGAACCACTGTTTTAAAGCATTAAATGTTGTTAAAATCATACTAAAATTAAAACTGTAGATCATTTGCGTTTGTCTTCATGTGGATTTTATAGTTGAACAAAAAAAATCATTTTCAGTAAGGATCAGATATATATATATTTGGTCTTAGACCTTTCTTCTAATTCTGAGTCCAAAGAAATCCAGAAACCTGCTGACGTGGTATATAAAGCGCTGACTCAGCAGTGAAGGCATCATGAATCAATGCCAGACTCGTCATCTTCTGCCAACTCTTCTGTTTCCAGGACCTTTTGAATGAGGTCCAGACTCAGACTCCACTGATCTGGATTCTAATCCTGATCCTGGAGCAGTCTGCCAAATGGTGACTAAGTCTTAGATGATGGTGGTCCATTTGTCCCGTAGAGGAACATGGAGAACAATCTGGGAAACCTCTAGAAGATCTTCATCTGCAGTTTGAGGAACGTCCAAAGGTTATTGAACCAGGAACACAGTGGGAGGAACACCAACATCAGTCCAGTCCATCATCCTGCCACAGTTGGACCGAGCCTGTCCTCAGGATCCTCCTTCAATCTGACCACAGGGACCTGTGAACTGGGTCAGAACGGTGTGTGTGTGTGTGTGTGTGTGTGTGTGTGTGTGAGTCACTGTTCTATCTCGTTCTGTCACACAGTGTGTGTTTGGAACACAGGACTGTTTACAGGGAAAAAAACTCAAGTTCTTATCTGTGATCATAAAAAAAAGTCAAATTGGGATTGTTTCCTTCTGTAATAAAATAAAAAAGACAAACAATCCTGGGACTGATGTCTTCGTGATAAAAAATGTCAAAGAGTACGGGAACTATTTCTGGCTGTGATAAATGAAATGAAGTCAGCAATTCTTCATGACTAAAAAGTTCAGTCCGTGCTGAAGCCGGGCAGAAACAGAACAGTCTGATGTGTCACGCTCTGATTCTTCTGACTGTCAGAGGTGCTGACAGAGAGGAGGAGGAGGAGGAACGAGGGGAGGACGAGGGGGAAGAGGAGAAGGAAGAGTGGGTAAAAATATGACAGAAGGGAAGGGGTGGAGGAGAAGGAGAGGTCTGGAGACAGATCCTCGTCCTCATACATCCTTCCCCTTATCTCCTTTTGCTCCTCCTTCTTCTCTTTATCATCCTCCCTCTCTCCTATCTTCTGCTCCCCTTTTATGTTCCTTTCTTCCTCCCAAACCTCCTACTTTAGCTTACACCCTCACCTTTCTCCAAACCTCTTCTTTCTTCTTCATTTATCCTGACTCATGCTGCTCCTATTGTGGATCCTTCTTCTGTCCTCCCGTCTCCTTCCCTCCTTCCTTGTCCTCCTCCTCTCTGCATCATTCTGAATATTTGCTCTGCAGCTCTTTGTCTTTTCTCTCAGTGTTTATCAGACTCTGGTTGTTTTGGCAAACACACACACACACTTTCCCTCCCTCTCTAAGGTGGGTAAATCGATCACTCGTCCTCTAAAAGACTATCCCTCTGATTTATTTCCTAGCTTTGTCTCTCTGTCTCACACTGACGGACTTTTCTTTCCTATTTCTTGAAGAAAAAGTCAGTGACTTAGGGTCCAGGTAGGTCAGTGATGCTGTCAATAAATTGATGTGAAACCTCTCGTTTTCCCCTCTTCTCTCCTTGACCATTCAGCATGGAGAAAATCCATTTGTGCAACAGAAGTGGCAGCAGCAGTGGTTCCTGGCTGAAGGCTCTAATCAGCTGCTGCTGCCCCTCACGACCACCATTTCTGCTGAGATGATTGAAAAAACACTGATGGGGGTTGACGTCGACAAGTCGCTGATTGACGTCAGTAATAATCATTCAAAAAATAACCGGAGAAGGAATCTGTTTTGACTAAAAACGTACAGCTTACACATACATCCACTGAGCCCTCGCTATCATCCACGTCCTCTTGTTCTTTGACCGAGAATAAAATCAATGTTCAAAGCTGCATTAGGCAAAAGAAGACAATTTAAATCAATTAAGATGATGAACTGGTAGCAACTCACCTGTCGCTTTAAAAGGTATTGATGTTGTGGACGTAAAAACGTGTGACCAGCGAGCGGCTGGACAAGCTCTGAAGGTGGAGCAGAAAAGTCCACTGTTGGACTGCTCTGGACAACCTCCACTCCTCTGAGCAGACTTTCATGTTTTTTAATCTCAAAAGAGTGAAAGTGAATAGTGATAAGAGACTGTGATCCATGAGAATCGGGAGAGTGGCTGTTTTCATTATTTACCGGTTTGTTTGATATGAGCAGACACTGTGGGTTTAAATCCCACAAACTCTCTCAGTTATTAGACAGTATGATCTGACTGTTAAAGCGCTCTCTGTGTGTGGGTTTTTTCTTTTTTTAATAAGTTGAGCTTTCAGTGTCTTCATCCTCTGCTGCCTGACTCAGGATGTGATCAGACACTTCAGTCTGGCGTCTTTAAGACAGGAGGTCGGAGGATAATTAGGGCTCCACGCCTCCGAGTGCTCCTCTCTCCAGACAGCCTGGAGAATGGGAATGTTTGGGATAATGTTGCACTTCAAGACTCAGCTGGTAATTACTTTCCCCACGGAGGCTCAGTAGCAGGAGTTGTGACTGTGCCGCCTGTGCTTCCTTTAAAGATGAGAAACATTACAGCTGAGGAGGAGCAGAGAGACCTGAGTGGATTCTGATAAAGAAAGAAAGAAAAGAAAGAAAATCCACTTCTCCTGCACACAAAAGAAAGAAAATCCACTTCTCCTGCACCGATCACTTCAAAACCGCTGTCACACCTGCTCCATTACCACAGAGTTTTCTGATGAGACTTACTACCCTCGTGCTACAGAGTCAGAAAGACCTGGAGTCCCAAGACTGGGTTTTGAAAGACCTGCAGTCCAAAATGTCAAATGAGAAATTGTAAAAGCCTGACGAGTGGGTAAACAAAGTCCTGGAGCGTTAATTGTGAACTCTGGAAGACTTGGAGTCGTAAGTATGGTCTGGAATGCCCTCAAGTCTAAAGTTTAGACTTTAGTCCTGGAATGTCAAGGATGGACTTTAAAAGACCTGTAGTCTGAAGTGTGGACATTGAAAGTCCTGGTGTAGAAACTCAAGGACAAAGCTGAGAGTCTGATTTAATAATTTTGTGATTCACAAACCTGTTCCTCACTATGCGCGCGCGCACACACACTATTTTTAGATGAGGACCATGGAGGGGAGTGGAAACATGTAGACGGGGAGAAGAGAGGAGAGAGGAGGGAGTGATTACAGCAGGAGAGACTTCTCTGAATAGCTGAAATATTTCCATAAACAGTTAGAGGAAGACAAAAACATGGTTAAGAAAAAATTAACATTAAATAAATGAGCTTTGTTCCCCCAGTGTCACTAAAATCAACAGGTTGTAAAGAAGACAAAAAAACTGGATTTCTTACTTCCTGAATCACATTTTTCAGAAATGTTGGACCAAATTGAACGCAGCTGCAAAGTCACGTGACTCGCCCACGTTCACTTACATAAATTGTGTCCTGTCCTACTCAACTTAAATAAAGAAAATAAGCTCCATCGCCTCCTTCTGGACAATGATTAAATACTAAGTAAATAAGTAAATATGCGTCACTAATATTTAATATCTACTTATAGAGGACCAATCATTAATCTTAAAGTAAATTTACATTATTTTAGTTATGATTTGCAATCCATACAGGGTGTTTAAGTTTATTTAAAAAAATATAAAACATATTATTTTGGGTTGTTTATTTTACGTTGTTTAAATTACAATGACGTACACAAATTAGCAATAAATGAAACAGTGACGTGCGCTCAGGGGCGGCAGGGGAGGCAGTGCAATATAAATATGATATTTTCCACTGATTTGTGTTAAAGATGCATTTTCAGTATGACTCTACACATTTTTGACATTTTATTAAGTAAAAATCACCGAATTTGAGTATTTCGCGATCAAATACAGAGCAGAAATTCCGGGTGAAGCAGCGGTGAGCTGTGTCTCACTTCTGACTGCGCGATCCAATCAAACTGGGTCACATG